AGAACAAATTTTTATGCTTCAGTTGCTTAGAAAAAAATGTGCTGGTGCTTTAAAAATCCAGATACAAATAGACTGATCTGAAGAGCCTATAATGTAACATCAAGAAATGTTAATCTCCAAAGAATCATTTGCAGCCAAAATAATTATTCCTGCTGTCTGATGCCATAGGAGAGTCTTTTTAGTTTCACAAAAACTTTTTATTCACCAGTTCCTTAGAATTGTATGCACTGGTTACTAAGACACAGTTTATCAAAGAACAGTTATTAAATGGTGTTATGTTATAATAATAATCTGAATGGATAGTGCTCTGCATAATAGTCTGTACCAGACTAATGGCCAAATCACAAGGGCTGATGCAACATGCATATTCAGCACAGTAATGCCCTCCATAACATCTCATACTGTGCTCTCAAACTTACAAATGCATAGACAGAATTCACTTACCTTAAAAATGATGCCCAAAAAGTCAAAATCCAAAAGCCATGAAATCAATTTGCTAAGTTGCAGTTACTTTTACAGAATCATTATAGGCAATTTAAATGCATTCAAAGGCACATACCTCACTCCTCTTGGATTCCCCTTGAAAAGCCCCCGTGCAGATGGAGGATTGTAAAGAGACTCATAGAGTGCAGGCTGATGATGGATGCTGTGAGCTCGTCCAGAGGAGGAGAAGAAAGAGAGAGGATGACAGAGAGTGGAGGAATAAAGGCGCAGGAAGGATCTGCGATCAACCCACTCTCTTTAACCAACAGAATTCATTTTCCTATTTGTCCCTGGCACGATGAAAAAAGTGGGAAGGGACGGAGGAAAAGTTAAAATGTCCTAAATTAGAATGAGCTGAGAGAGAGAGAGAGAGAGAGAGAGAGGACACGCTATTAATTAAGTATCATACACCCCTGAAATGTTGCTCGATGCCCTGTTATTGTCCTATAAAAAGGGTAAACCCAGAAGAGTTAATGCATGTAATATTGTTTCAAAATGAAAAGTGACTGAGAATTGATTTGATACGAGCACTCCTGTTCTTCATACAGCATACAGTTCTTAATTTTTTTTCTCAAAAAAATTAATAATAAAAAAAAAATGCTTGCCATGCTTAAAAGAACAAAAATGAGAGATAGCTCCAGGCATCGTTTGAGTTCATTGCTGGTTCATAATTGGGAATCTTCTTGACCGACATTTGCTGATTCTGTCAAGGCATTAAAGGATTAAAACATGTCAAGGTGAAGACAGCAGACAATTTCTCTATGGTTAAAAAAAAAAGAAAGAAAGATCAAATTGACACATCAGAAACACACACACACACACACACACACACACACACACACAATATAAGTGTAAAAGACTATAAAATTATTCAAATGAATAATAATAAATTAATTCTAAACATAATTGTGAGACAATACTGAGTGGTGTTAGTTTTGTTTAAAATTAACATTTTCATGATCAACATGCACAATTGCATGATTAATTTTAGTTATGAATGAAAGGAATGGTTTATTCAAAAACATGAAAATTTGCTGAAAATTTACTCACCCTGAGATCATTCAAGATGTAGATGAGTTTGTTTCTTCATGGTAAGAGATTTGGAGATATTTAGCATTACATCACTTGCTCACCAATGGATCCAGTGAATGGGTGCCTTCAGAATGAGTCCAAACAGCTGATAAAAACATCACAATAATCCACAAGTAATCAACATGACTCCGGTCTATCAATTAAAATCTTGTGAGATGAAAAGCTGCTTGTTTGTAATAAATAATGGCCTGAGGGTGAGTACATTTTTAGCAAGTTTCATTTTTGGGTGAATTATTTCTCCAACAAAGTGTATTCAAAAACTTTCATTTTTGGGTTGTCTTAATATTTGTTCCAGAAATATTCCAGAATGAAAACTGTGCCAACAAGTTCTCGTAGTCTTAGTAATGTACGGTAATCATTTTGTTACATGGATAAACATCTTGAGGAAACTTTCACTCTCAGTGAATTTACCCATTGTTTAAAGGGGTCATCGGATGCCCATTTTCCACTTGGCGAACGGTTTTGGAGAATTTGATGTTTACTCATTCAAAGAGATAGGAGCTGCACTTGTATGCCCGAGAGGCGTTTCAAAGATGGCCGCGAGTGAAATGACTTGCCTTAAAGGGACTTTGGTTCAGTTCACACAGCACTAATTTACGGGAAGCCCGACACGCGCACCATAAAAATGCAAATGACTCCTGAAATGACTCCTGAAAGTTTAGGCAATTCACACAAAACACGTCTTTGTTTTTAAAAAAACTCTAGAAGTAGGATAGTGGATTGAATAAAAGGAGAGAAAAAAACGCAAGGTGTAAAGACGCGTTTGTTTGTTTATTTAAGTTAGGGTGACCATACGTGCCATTTTTCCCCGACGCGTCCTGGCCAGGAATTCTATATTGCCTAAAATATCTAGGTTTTAGTGATGTTCGGTTCTTGAACGAATCGTTCTTTTGAGCCGGTTCTCAGGAAGTAACCGGTTGAGCGGGTTCACAAATCGAACTGAATCGAACTTTAGTTCCGGGTTGATGAAGCCGAAGTAGCACGTCCAACTCAAAAAGAACCGAATGAGCCGGTTCAACCAACTGTCGAAGTTTACCGAGGATCACCGAGGACTCAACAAGAACCGAATGAGCCGTGGCGAAGTTAACACAAATAACTTTATTTTTGAATGTTTCAATATGCGTTGACACAAATTACTTATTTGAATTTTTCATTGATGTAACATGGCACTGAGTTGTTAGAAAATAAATGCGTAGAGACGTTATTGCTTGATGACGTCAGGAACCGATGAATCGGCTTTTTGAACCGGTTCAATGAGCCGATCTGTCCGAAAAGTACCGGTTCGCGGAAATGAATCGGAATCGGAAATGTCATGGCTAAATATAAGCAACACAGTGATGAAACTGAGTGCAACTCTCTGTCACATCTGCATAGCAGGGTAAGTGCGTATACCTTCCATGACTCGCTGTGCTGACTCTCTCAATGCTAGGAGAAATTTGTGTCAAGGTTGGTGAGCTTTAATAACCAGATCATTCAGTAATGATGAGACAACTGCTTATTCAAAGAAATTACCAGTTTGAATTGGTTTTGAGGCATGAGTCACTGCTGATTCACATCTGTAAGTTTGAATCTGATCCATTTGAGTCATGTCTGTGAAGATAACCGCATGTGGACACAGCAGACCAAAGCCTAGCCTCCTGTTAAAACAGTAGCAAACTTTCAGAGATGAGAGGCTGGATGATAGAAGCAAGGAATAGTTTCCGCACGCAGAGAGAGGAGGGTGAATATGGCTTTGTATATCACATATTCTTCAAGTCATATACAAGAGGAATGTAACATATCAACACAGATGACAGTCTCAGAAATCCTAAAACATGCTGAAGATGAGAAATCAGGTAATATCACTCTGAACAGCTACAGTAAATGACTATATGCATTATGAACAGCCTTAAGTTTATATAAAAGCAACAGTACATTGTTTATTGGCTCTTGCATTATGGTAATCCTTTAATAATGAGCAAGGTTACCAGCCACATCCAAGCCACAAGTGGGAAAGTATGAGGTCGCAGACTGCCGTCTCTCTACAGCACATCCCATTAAGCCTGATTTCATCAGGAACTCTTTAAAATAAAGTTCAAATTACTAACATTAGTGAATGAAATAGGTATCATAAACCAACAATTTACAGCATTTATTAATTTTTAATATATTTTATGCATATTCAATTATATTTAATGTCACTTTGTGTATAATACTTAGTTTATAGTTTATTTATACAACTTGAAATGTTAACGCATAAATTAATATTAGCCTAGATGAATAAATGCTGTAAATGTATCATTTATAAAGACAAATACTAATAATTATAAATACTAATATTAATGTATATAACTTAAAAGAATTACAATTTCATCATATACCAAGTCATTAAAAGACTATTTAAAGAGAAATGTCATATTTAATATCTCTATTTAATGGATCAAACGGGATTTTTACAAAAAAATTTTTTTTACATTTCTATAAAAAAAATCCTAAAAAATGATCAAGGTTTTCATATAAATTTTATATTAAATATAAATATTAAATATAAGCAGCACAAATGTTCTCTAAATTATTAAGAAAAGTTTCTTGAGCAGCAAATCTACATTTAATGATTTTAGAATTATATATATATATATATATATATACTGTATAGATAGATAGATAGATGGATAGATATATCATGGTTTAACAATCATAAATATTAACATGTTAAAATCTGATGGCAATTTGGTTTATTTTTAATGTGGTGACACAATCAAACTTAATGTTGGTATGATACAAGAAAAATTACAAACTTGAACTATAATGTCAAAAACACCCATGCTTTAGAATAAGACACTGGTCCTTAGGCTGAGGCAAACCTCACGGATAATATAACAGTTGTCACCAGAGAACCCTTTTTAGGACTGCACTAAAGGTTTTTACTGCCATTCTAAATGTGTGGGCCTAAATGTTCTGTTAAATCAGTTTTGCATATTTTAGAGAATACTTATCCTTAAACATACAAAAAAGATGCAAAAAGTGAGATTACTGCATGTAATGCAAGTATCAGGTTGTGTTCTACAGTTTGTTAGATTGAAACCTTCTGATTATGCAAAAGAGAATCCCAAATAAGGCTAAAAATCAGTCCATCACAAGCTTGTTCAACTGCTGGGAAACTGGTGGGCAAGGAACATCCAACTGCTTCCCAAACATCACCAAAGTGGTGCGACCGGACTCTTAAACACAGACTGACTGATGATTGAGTGGGTTTGGAAGGAAACAAGCTTAACTGTAATCTCAAGGATAGCAGTTGAGGCCCTGTTCATTTGGACAGTTAAATACAGGAGGAGCAGTAATTCATGTGGTGGTGTTGAATTCACAGTAGAAGAGGAATGCTGACTCGTCCTGTTCGTCAGACATCAGAAAGACAGACGGCCGGAGAGTGGAACAGAGAGCTTTTTTTTTTTTTACTTTCTGTAAAGATTCTGAACGTAACTCTAAACATCATGTATACAGTTAGCATAAAGTCTAATTATCTGCAACCTAATTGCTTTAAATAGCCAACAAACCAAAATAGTTAACTTAAAATACTTTTCTTTTTTACAGAAACTAAAGAGCCCCTAGTGGAATTTAAAACCAGGCATGGCTGAGATGTTTAGCTGATATAAAAGGTGGGAAGTAAAAAATCTTATCTTTAAAAAACTTTTTGATTCAGAGCTACACTGTAAAAAATGACCGTGAATTTAACGGTAAAAGACTGTAAAAATGCTACAGTAAAAACCTGTTAAATGGTTAACGGTAAATTCCCCTACTATATACGGTGAAAAACTGTATTGGACATTACATGTATACTGTAAATTAACCACAGCTGCCGGTTTTTTACCGTAAATTTTACGGAATTTTTTTTACAGTGTGGGTCTGTAATTTGCCAGTTCATCTACTGTGCTGCTGTATTTTTTACAGGAATTCTCTGGTAACCACAGCTGCCAGCGTTTTCCTGTAAAAACAACAGTTTTTTTTTTTACAGTGTAGATCCATTGCTTTAGCTGAAAGGCTGAGAGCTGAGAGCTGAGAGTTTTTGCTCCCACATGCTTTCCACTACTTTGTACAGTTCCATGGTGGCTTTGGCATCTTCTACTGATGAGTGGCCTCCCTTCCCTGTCTGAAAATATAAGGAGAGAGTTTTTCAGTGGAAAAAAATGAAAGCCATCTTTATTTTCTTTATAAAAATAGTCTGACTTGTCCTCTTTCAATCCAAGGATCCAAGAGCTGCTTTGAACTGACTCCAGATTTACCCTCTCTTAAATGTCTGACAGCTGAACTGAACTCCTCTAAGCACTCTGATCTTTGTGGCAGAGGTGAAACTGACATCCACTGAGACACGTTACAATGTTCTGTGCCGAGTTAAACCCACCTGTATGTCCTTTTTGAGAATAGCCTTAGTGAGCCTCTTCAGAGACACCATTTCATTCACAGGCAGCCCAGCTTTCTGGTTTAGCAGTGGAATCCGCGCCGTATCTCGTGTTTGGCAAGCAGGATGGAAATATTTTAAGGCCTTGAAGTCATTATTGATGGCATGGCCCACAACCACTTTCCCTGTTATTATCTTCACAATCTGTTTGCAAAACGTATAATAATGCTTAGTAGACTTACAAAAACAATCAGACTATTACTGGTTTGTCATTACTTGGTTTTGAGCACAGTGAACAAATGGATGATACTTTGTCTACATAATTAAAAATAAATCAATAAAATTATAATAACAATAAAATCTAAAATCAGTAATTTTAAATGCTGTGAATTTAGGCATCAAATAACATACAGTATGAAAATAGATAGGGCCTACTCATTTGGAGATAATAATACATTTAACAGAGTTGTATTAAATTATTAGTGTTTTAAAGATTAACTTTAAAGTGAGAATTGGATGATGGCAAAGGAAACCTAAATGTAAAAATATTGAAATGAGCATGAACAATTAAGTATACAATATCAATTTAAAAATGTGTAACACTGGCTGATAACTGATAAGATATTGTTCTACCAAATTATAATCTTAAATCAGAAAAAAAAAAAAAGATTTTAAACAGTTTTATATGTTTCTATGGTGATAGTTTTACTGATCCACTGGGAATGTTACATATCTTATGTAATAATTATGTCCACAAACAAATTATAACATTATGTGATCTGAAAAACAAAACAAAACAAGAAAAACCCTCAAGCCTCAAAGCCTTCATAAAATGTAGTGGGTGTGCAGTGTTCGCCAGTGTTATTTATACCATTTTTAAAAATATTTATTTTTGTATTTTCCATTTTCATTTCCATTAAAGTTTTAGTAATTTTGTTGTTTTTGTCATTTTTATTAGTTATTGTTTTTTAAGTTATTTTTTTAATTGTCTATATAGTTTTTAATACTTATTTCAATTTTAGGTATTTTAGTGCATAAAGGTTAACTAAATAGAAATGAGAAAGGTTGCTTTGACAACTAGCTGAAGTAAAATAAGTTTTTTTTATAATTTATTTCAGTTAGCATTTATTTCAAGTAACAACAATAACAACAGCTGTATTTACTCAGTGCAACTTAGAACATTCCAAGTGAAAGATAACACCAACATGTCAGAAAAAAAAACAAAAAACAACCGGGATCACAGAGTTGGAAAAAGGATCACCCCCTTGTATCAGTATTTTGTTTAACCACCTTTTGCTTTAATTACAGCCTTTAGTCTGTCGGGATATGTCTCTACTAACTTTGCAATATTTGCCCACTCTTCTTTGCAGAACTACTTCAATATTTGTCCACTCTTCTTTGCAGAATTGCTCAAGTTCAGTTAAATTTCATGGTTACCATTTGTGGACTGCAGTCTTAAAATCATTCCACAAATTTTCAATGGGATTTCAGTCCTCCAACCACTGTGTGATCAGTTTTGCTGTGTGATTTGGGTCGTTGTCATATTGGAAGGTAAACCTTCTTCCCATAGACAACTTTATGGCGGAGGGCAGCAGATTTTCCTCAAGAATTTGATAGTATTTTGCCCCATCCATTTTTCTTCTATCCTGACAAGTGCTCCAGTCCCTGCTGCAGAGGGATGATTAACAGCCCCATAAGAGGATATCATCACCTCCATGCTTTACTGCTGTTATGTGGATGGTGAGCTGTATTGGATTTCCGCCAGACATAACGTTTAGTGTTGAGGCCAAATAATTACATTTTAGTCTCATGTGGCCTCAGAATCTTCAAGGTGCATTTTGGCAAAGCTCAACCCTCCCATACAAGCCACATTTGTGGAGAATTTGTGATATTGTTGTCACATGCACACAATAACCACTCTGTCATAAATTCCTGCAACTGCTTCAGAGTTGCTGTAGACCTCTTGGTAGCTTCTCTGACCATTTTCCTCCTAGCTCTTTCATCCAGTTTGGAGCGACATCCTGATCCAGGGAGGGTCTGTGTTGTAACAAATACCTTCCACTTCTTAATAATAGACTTCACTGTGCTTTTAGGCATTGATAAAACCTTAGAATTTTTTTTTTGTATCCATCTCCTGACTTGTGCCTGTCCACAACTTTCTCCCGGAGATCTTTTGACAGTTCCTTGCCACCCATAGTTGATCTTTTGCTTTAGTTGCACTACCAAGGACTGAAATGCTCCAGGAAAGCTCTTTTCATGCTGAGCTAATCAAAATGACCACAGCTGACAGCTCACAGTTGAAAGTCAAATGGCTTTGTGTGATTAGCTACACCTGATTGAGTTTACAAGTCATTTTTAGGAGGGGGGTGATCCTTTTTCTAACTCAGTGATTGTTTTTTATTTATTTTTTTCTGACATCTTGGTGTTTTATCTTTCACTTGGATATTATAAGCTGCACTGAGTAAATACAGCTCGATAAAACAAAAACTGTCCCCGTCTTCAATTCAGGCTGCAAAGCAACAAAATGTAATTATTTTAAAGGGGGTGATTCTTTTCTATACCCACTGTATAGTTTGTATTTTCCTATCTCTTGACATAAAAATATTTGTTCTGGAGTGTGCTGACCTAACAGGGTTTAATGGCATTGATGCTTCTTTAAGGTTTAATGCTTCTTTTTGAGCAACTGTAACATGATCATTTAAGTAGAGATACTCTTTCATACCTCTTTCTGTGCCTGATCAAAGGGTATGGCATGGAGTAGGTCCTGCCTCCTGATTCCACTCCAGCGAGTGCGGAAATCTGTCACTGGATCGATGGGTTTGATATATTTATCATAAATCACATCACCCTCGTAGGTGACGATACTGCAGCGGGCGAGTTCATTGCGACACCCCTTCGGTCCTGTTCCCACCATCTCACAGTCCAACGCCACGTATTTTAAAGGTCCGAGGGTGTAGGGTGCCGCTTGGTGTGTCGGATGCCTCTGAGATGTGGAGGCAGTGGATGGAAATGAAAATGTGGATTTCTTTGAAAACGTCTGTGCAGAACTAGAAGGCTCACTGGTCTTCTTGGGCAGATAAGAGGTAAATTTAGGAAAAATAGCGCCTGGTTTTGATTGATCGTCTCCATTGAGCTGCGTGTTCCTTGACTTTTTGTTTCGCTTTTTATTTTGTTTCTCTTTTAACAAACCCTTGTGTTCCAGGTAATGTCTCCTTCCAAGGAAACGTTCATGCTTAGCATTTCCTCTGGATTTACCTGATTTGCCTTCTCGAATAGGCTCACAAACCAAGTTCAACATAAGCCCTGACATTCTTGCACTCCCTCAAAGGTTGATTACAGCAGGTGTCTTCTTGAAGTTCTTTTACTCTTAAATAGAGAAAAACAAAAAGAACGACTGTTAAGACAAAGAACTAACGTGACTACACAAAATGATTGTGATAATCATTCTGTAGAAAAGTAAAGTGTAAAAAATGTTTAAATAATAAAAATAAGATATATCTAATAACATTAACTCAATAAATAAAAACATGACCAAAAAATAAAAAAGGATTTAAATAATTAAAAGGATTAAAATAAATAAATAACAAAAATCTTAAATCAATAATACAGTACAATACTACAGTGAATAGAAAAAACGTAATTATGTAACAGAAACTAATAGTTTACACATCTTTATCATAACTTTTCACCGTGTAAAATGGGTCTTTATACATTAAAATAAATAGATGCCTTTTAAATTAAGCTCAGACGACCATAATCATATCGGGGGGAACGTGGCATGTAAAAGTTTCAAAACACCCTTTTATAAACTATTTTTTTATTTTTTAAATCTATGCAAAGACACCAGCATCTATTCCAATATGAGATAAACACTCCACATCAAAAGGAGAGCCGGCAGTTTTACTAGACAGACGTGACATTTTCCATTTTGTTACAGTTCCTGAGTCTTATAAGTTTTGAATAAAAATAACAGGTCGTAAATATCTTTCAAATAAATTATGAACATTGCTCTTGAATTGCATATCAGAGCACATTTTCATGATCGAGGACAAAGTTATCCAAGTTATCCAATTCGCTGAGTATTAACTTACACTCTGCGTTTCTATTGTACATAAGCGTTCAAAACTGACGAACACATACCATTATTTGCCCCAATACGTCGATCTTTGATATTTTTTTCCTATTATTGTGTTCAAAAGAAGCATGTCGTACGTGTGACCGCACATGTACTTCCGGGTCGGAGTTTAACGGTTTATGGGAAGTTCGACTCTTTCGAACATTTCATTTCAAAGAACCGGTTCAAAACCTAATTCAGTGATTCTTTTCTACGTCAGGAAGTAATTGCAGTAGTGCAGGTTCTAAAGAAGGGATCCTCAAATCTGTCCCACGAGATCCACTTTCCTGCAGAGTTTAGCTCTAACCCTAATAAAACACACCTGAGCATGCTAATCAATGTCTTCGGGATCATTAGAAAATCACAGGTAGGTGACTTTGATCAGGGTTGGAGCTAAACTCTGCAGCGCATTAGCCCTCCAGGGCAAGATTTGAGGAACCCTGTCCTAAAGGTTTCTGTTTACTGTTCATTACGTTTTCGACGCCAGTTTTATTATTATGGTGATTATGGTATATCAAAATTTCTATTTTAATTTTCACACACACACACACACACTTGCATTATTCGTAATCGAGAAAGATTCAACTCCCATTTGTGAACGAATCGTTCATGTCGGTTTTGTGAATCAGTTCAACCGAATCACTATGGAGCCAGAATGAGCTCAATAATAATTCACGCAAAAGACACGACGCACACATGCGTAACCCAATTCCGCATGTGTGCATCGCGTCTTTTGCGTGAATTATTATTGAGATCATTCTGGCTCCATAAATCACTGATTTGTTCACGAATCAGACATCACTAGTAGGCGGCGCGCTTGCGAACACGTGTGGTCGGATCGCTACATGTAAACACAAAAGTCTTAAAGGGGTCATATGATGCGATTTCAAGTTTTCCTTTCTCTTTGGAGTGTTACAAGCTGATTGTGCATAGATAAGATCCCTGAAGTTGCAAAGACTAAAGGATTCTATTGTGTTGAGCCTTCCATACCAGAATATTTTTTGTATACTAATTAATGCCAGTTTGTTGTATTCAGATTTTGTATTTAATAATAAAAAATTAAAAAAAAGTCTTAATACGTTCCCAATTAATTTTAATGAAATGGCTACTCGGAATATTAAAGCGCACCCAGTTTAATCTGCATGGTGTTTTTAGTGTTGAAGAAATGTTTGTGGCGGCTTTTTCAGAGCAGGAGCAGAGAGATCTAGCTGAAAAGCTGATTTCGCACCTGTCAACCTACAGACACATATCAGACTCCTACATAATAGTAATGAATCAACAACCTCTACTATTTCAGTGTTTGTGCATTATAAACTTATATGTTTTGATGTTTGTCAAGCATTCAAGTGCGAGTGTAATAAATCCGTAAAGTTAAGCCGTGGGGTTTCTGTCAGCTGAAATATTTATGTACATGTGAAAGTGTATCTGTGTTTCTCCGTCCACGCAGGAGTTCTTCAGTGAGAGTTTGTGGGATACTCTGCCTGTGAGCTGGCAGGACGCCCTCGGTGATCTTACACCCCCACAGATCAGCTGATCTGCTGCTGGATAAAGAGATTAAGGACAGGCGGTAAATGAGTTTACTCTTATATGTTAACATCACCTTGCCTTAATTTAAGATCAATTTAAGACATTGCTCAAAATCCACTTTCCATGAGGAGCATTTGCCTGTAGAAAAAGCTTTGAGATAAATAGATAGGAATGCATGAAGTTATAAAATATATACTTAGAATGCAAGGAAATTTCTTTGGATGAAAGTGTCTGCAAAAACTAGTTTGGCTTTGGGACCAATATATTACATTGGACATCAAGTGGTGGTCGAACACAATACCAAAATTACTTATTGTACCAGTGTTATTTTAGTATCATTGAGATGCTTTTATGGGTTTTATTAATATTTTGAAATTTTTTTTTTTCTGTTTTTATTTTAAAGGGGTCATATGATGCTGCTAAAAAGATATGCACCAAGAGCTTGTAACACTCCAAAGAGAAAGGAAAAATTGAAATCGCATCATATGACCCCTTTAATTTTGTTTAAAGTTGTAGTAATTTTTTTTTTTTTTTTTTTAAATGTCTGTAATTTTGATATTTTTTTATTTCAGTCATTTTAGCACATCAAGTAAATGTTTCCTTGGCAACTGGTTTGCAATAAAATCAGTTGCTGTGTATATTATTTTATTTTAGTTAATGTTTTTACTACAAGTAACGGACATTTTTTTTTTCATGGTTTTAGTTTGTTAACTATAACAACCCTGTACTGTATAAAGGTAAACTCCTTGAAATGTATGTAGTGGCTTTCTTTTAAACAGTGCAACATATGATAGTTTTTTTAAAAACCATTTTAAATAGTAAACATATCAATGGAAGTAATTTGAAAGGTGTTGTATTTATTCTGTCTTTTAGGTACCCTTCTGTGTGGCCTCTCTCCTTACTGGCACTGCGGACAGCAGCACATGCGCTTTCGTTTCCACATAAAGCACCAGGTGGGCACAGTCAGGACACAGGTGCAGCAGTACCAGAGGAGTTTCAGTTGAACCAGTCAGAGTTCTTTGTTAGGACACATTTTCCGTAAACACGTCAAGCCCAAGAAGCAGCACGAAATCCGCCAACTAGGCACGGTATGGGTATATTATACTGCATGTAATGTCATTGTGGAAAAATTCTGAATGCCATTATTAAAGAAATATGACTCCATTAAGATTATTTGATAATCTAAAGATTCTTCAAAAATGTTTCTTCTGCTGAACTGTCTCTAGCTGGTCAAGAAGTTGTGTGATCAGGCTAACTGTAAGTGTGTGGTTGATGTTGGGTCTGGGCAGGTACAGTAATGTCTTGCTTAATTTTCTTATTGTAAATATTCCAATCTTTATATTATAAATATGCAAATTACTCACTTTAATTTGATCCATCCCTCCAGGGCCATTTGACACGGTTTCTGTCTTTTGGACTTGGCCTGGATGTCACAGGAATTGAGGCTGACCCTAACCTTGTTTCCATGGCTACTAAATTTGATAGACAGCTTCTATTGACACTTGCCAAAGAGAATCAAAAGGTATGACCCTCATAAATTATTCTATGAAATAATCTATTAATATTATCCTTTTAATGATGTATTTTCTATTTTGTAACCATATTTTGATATTACATAATGATTGATACATTTTTAAAGCTTGCATTATCACTCAGACCATGTTTTTGAAGTCATTTTTTATTTTATTTTGTATTATTATATTTTGGATTACATATATATATATGTGTGTGTGTGTGTGTGTGTGTGTGTGTGTGTAAACCACGGTTTTTTTTGGATGTGCTGTGAAAATTCTCATCAGTGTTTCTGTTGTAGTCAGGAAACGCTCAAAGTCTTCATTCTCCTCGTCATGTGGTGGGCTGGGTCAACCCAAAGGCTTCATGGGATGTCTTCATTCAGCAGCTTGGTGTGATAGCAACTGAAAGTGACAGTATTGGAGCAACCACTGGGTCAATTGAAAAGAAACAGCAGGTGGAGGAGCTGCATCTAGAGCCGCATTCATGCCAAACCAAAGCAGAGGAGTTACAAAATGCACTGCCGACTCAAAAAACTGCTATTAATACTTTAGACTCTGTAGCACAAATAAACAATTGGGTTTTCCCATCAGGGATGACAACCGAAATGCTTACCTGTAAAACCGTACCAGTTAATGATTGTGGTGCCAAACAACCTGGTAGTTTTGTCCTTACAGGTCTTCATGCCTGTGGAGATCTTAGCTCTACACTTCTGTGTCATTTCGCCAACTGCCCTCACGTTCAGGTCATCACATCGGTTGCTTGCTGCTACATGAAAATCTCAACCAAGGAGAACCCAAACCCTCCAGGGCTTTTCCAGCCCCCATTTTCTTCAGACACAGTGGCAGATTCCTGTTCAGAATATGGTTATCCTATGAGTGACTGGGTACGTGGATTACCAGGGCACCAGCTGTCGTATAAGGCACGAGAGGGTGCATGTCATGCATTAGAGGACTATCTCCATCATCTGAGAGAGGAGTGCGGCTTACTGCGGACACACTGCTACAGAGCCATCTTAGAAAGCATCATCAGAGCAGAGAGGCCTGATATGCGCAGACCGGGAGTTCAGACTGTTAGGAAAGCCCACGCACTGTCATTTGTAGAGTTAGTGTCTTTATTGCGACATTTGTGAATAATAATATCTTTAAAGGACTGGCATATCTGTGACTCACTGATGAGTTTCAGTTCCTAGAACATGAAGGATTTGAAAAACTAGTTCTATAGAGTTCAATGAAATAATCTAAATCTCAATGACACATGTTAAACTCTCTTATTTTAAGTACATCTGAGATACTAGACTTCTGCATTATAACATTCTCTTTTGTTTTATCACAGGTATGCTTGTTTGGCATGGCCACGGGTGGGCCTACCCGCTGATCTCCCATTTGACCCTGTCAGTGTGGATGCAATGCTAGCTCACCAGGGTAAAGTGGTGGCGTACTTCAGTCTGGTTCTTCTCCTTGCACCTGTGGTGGAAACTCTAGTGTTACTGGACAGAATGATTTTCCTGCAGGAGAGAGGTACATAGAGCAGAGCCAGTCACTCGAGAGGAAATTAAAATTACCAAATTAGCTTATTTTAACACAACTGTATTTTTCTGACATGCTTGGTTATGTAATTCAAATATACATTTTTGATTATTTTATTAATATTATTATCTTTACATTGTTTAACAGAGATACAAGTATTCCATAGTTTCAGAAGTTTCAATAACTTAATGATTAATTTATTCATATTTAAAATTTATTTACATGCTTTTTCTACTCATTTGTGATTACAGGGATTTTTTTTATTAAAAAATATCAGTATCTACCAAATAAAATATTTTAGATCTTGACATAACTCATCAAAGTTTCAATGACTTTTTTCTATGATCACTTTTCCAGGTGTAGAAATAAGTCTTTCAAAATTATCTTATTGTATAATTATAATTCATCTTTGTATTTTCATATTTAGGTTTCCAGAGTAAACTCATCCCACTCTTTGATGCTGCTTTTTCCCCACGAAACCTGGTACTGGTGGCTGTCAAGCCCAAAGAAGCACAGAGCTGAATGAAATAGCATGCAACAAGATATTGGAATCCATGTTCTAAATCACAACCACATAATTAGATTAACAATAACATATTATGAATGAAATGCCTTTAAATGAACCGCCACACAAACCATCAGACATTTGGGAACTGAAATTAGAGGTCTGATTTTCCGTTTTCCAGAGTGACTCATTAATGGCTCATTGTCAGTCAGTTTTTGTCTGAATTGGAGAGAGGGAAATACTTTTTCCAAATTCTAAACTTTTAATATTTTTAACTTTATTAAAAAGACATGACAGTCAAACTTTGTTTTTTTTCCCCCCATAGTTGTCAGACTGGATTTATTGCATAAAATTTTCTCTAATTATTGTTTTTAAGGCACAGGATTTATATAACAGTGGGCAAAGTTGCTATTGTCTATGGTTCACCTCTATTACAAAAGACATATATTATTCAGACACAGAATCTACTGTATGACCGCAGGTGCATGAACGCTATATATCTGTAAATAAAAAGTTTAATGTAAAGGCCATGTCTTTTTTTTAACCTATAGATGGCACTCTTATGACAAAATCAGGTCAAACCTTCAAAGACAGTTTTTGAAAGCCCCTATGATATTTCTAGTACTTACAGTATTCTGCAATAACAAAGATGCTAATTCTCAAACTTTATTTATATAAACTAGAAGGGGTGATGTATTATTGATTAAATTGATTCAAAATGATTCAATAAAACGATTTAAATAACTCTTTAATAACTATTTTTATTACATAATTACATTGACATTAATAACTGAATGGTCTTCAGGATTTACATCAATTAATTTACATGACTTTTCTAGTCATTTGTGATTACAAGGTTTAAAATTATTTCAAACTCACATGCTTTTATACTACCATCCTTTTTTTTTTTTTTACCAAATAAAATATTTTAGAGCTTAAGCTTATATTCATTAACATTTCCAAGATCTTTTAGGATTTTTTTTCCAGGTCTGCAAATCACGCTTTCAAAATTCCCTCATTATATTTAGGTTTTCCAATACAGCGAGAATCCTACTGGTTCTTAAATAAGAATAAACTGTCAAGAGAACAACAGAAGAAATATAATGTCGGTTTAAATCTTGATAATGTGTTTTAACTTATTTTAATGCTTGTTTTGTCTTATTGTAAATCATTAAGTAATCTTGCAGCCTTCATGAACCACTGGCTCTAAATAAAAACATTGCATCTTGTGCACACTTGACAGTTCACTTCCAAAACTACTTTCCATACACACACATACTAGTCTGCATGTCACTAGAGTCTTTATTTCTGATAAATTACATTTACAAAATGTTCTCACACAGCTGAAGAGAAACATGGAAGACATTTAATTCTTCATGCTCTGTACAAAGAATTCATTACACGCCACTGTGAGAGCAGCCACCAGCACAACAAACTCCTGAAAGTCCACCTCTCCATCCTGGTTCTCATCCAAATCAGACATGATCTTCTCCACAACCATGGGGTCTTTACTCGCCTACAACAGGACACAGTTATTTTTCTATTATGCATGGAAGCCATCAATGTTATTAAATGTTAACTTAATATGGCTAAAACGTACAGCTAAAAAGTCATTGAGTTCTCCCTGAAGCAAACTCTTGAGCTCGGCTTTGCTTAGCTTGTACTTGTCTCCTTCTTTGGAAGAGTATGTGTGGAACACTTTAATCAGGCCTTCCATTGCATCTTCCAGTTTTGAAACCATGTTGTTGCTCTCCTCTTTAGAAAAAATATTCTGTCCGCAATCTCGCAACGGTAAATTTGACGTCATTCACCATAATAATCAATAAATATTCGAAGATGCCACAATCCTGCACAGCCGTGTAAAAACCGCCGGGATTTAAATTCTCGAAGAAACAGGATAACTTTTAACAGGTGAGAATGCAAGAGAGGAGCGGAACCATAGACGTAAGGATTGTGGCATGTTCGAAGATCCATTGATTATTATGGTGAATGACGTCAAGTTAAAACAGTGCAAATGAGGAATCTACATATTCATATCTATAGGCGGAGCTTCTGCCAAACGCAGCAAGCACGTCTAATGACGTCACCACACACGCTCAACATCGAAGATTTCTACATTAATAATGTGCTTAAATACATTAGATGATATCTCATGTTTAAGTAATTAAGAAATAAATTTGTAACTATGCAAAAATGTGACAGTGTTTTGTAGGTTCACAGTGGTAATCAATGCTTTGAGATTTTTTGTGATATAGTTGTTGTGTTCTCACACAAGTGTTGTTTGATAATGCATTGAGTTTGGTTACAGTCTTTTGAGACTTTCATCTTGGCAGTGGGGTTTACTGACGTGAGTGCAGCCCGCAAAAAAGCGCTGTTACTGCATTGCTTGGGAGCCGAGGGTCAGCACGTGCTGGGAGCGCTTGAGTCGGGCACCACAAGTGATTATGACACAGCCGTGGAACTACTGACCGCACACTTTGCAGCCCCACAGAGTGCTCTCTTGCAACGTTTTCTGTTCCGCCAAAGACACCAGCTGCCCGGTGAGTCTGTGCAACAGTACGTAGCCGACTTGCGGGGATTGGCCAGCACATGCAAGTTCGGTGCGTTGCAGGAAGAAATGATTCATGACCAGTTAATTGAACATACCAACGATGCAAAAGTGCGTGAAACTCTGCTGTTAGAACTGGATGATTTATCACTGTCCCGGGCATTCACGATTGCATTACGAATAGAGAGTGCAGCTGCATGTGCGTCGGCTCTGACCAAACAGCAAACAATCGTGGACTGCTCGGCCCCCTCCCCCATGCCACCATCGACGTTACAACCCAGCCAGAATGACACATTGGCGGCAGCAGACTCCTCTACAGTTATGCTACTGAGGCGCCAGAAGCGGTCTCGGCCACGCCCACAAGTACAAACATCACGGCACTTCTCATCTCATCTGTCTAGAGCACAGAACTGCCCAGCCCGTGGCCAAACATGCCGCAACTGTGGTAAACGCAATCATTTTGCTTCAGTCTGCCGCTCCGCTCCAGCTGTGTCAGCCCAAGCACCCACTGTCATTCACAATGTCTACTCTGGACCAGTCTCATTTAAAGCATGTTCAGTGCGCCTAAATGATGTGTGTATCCCACTGCTTTTGGACACTGGTGCCAGTGTGTCTCTCCTGAATATGCACACATACAGCACTTTTTTCGGAGCACTGCCACTTTCGGCACCCTCTGCTTCACTCTGTGGCTATGGCGACTCAAAGATTGACTTCCCTGCAAGTGACCGTTGGGTATGGCAACAAGATGGTGCCCAGCTTTACCATCCATGTTGCCCGTCGCGGGGCCAACTTGATGGGTCTGGATTTGTTCTCGGCTCTGGGATTTTCTCTAGTTGACACGAAGGGAGCTGCGGTCCTGACAGTCTCCACGCCTTGGCAGGAAAAGTGGCCATCCCTGTTTGAAGGCTTGGGCTGCCTTACTGCTTTTGCCCATCAACCTCTCCTGAACCCTGCCATTAAACCAGTCATCCAACCACTCCGACGCATTCCCTTGGCTCTCTGTGATGGTTTCTTGGCTGAGCTTAAGCAGCTGCTGAACGTTGGCATTATTGAACCAGTGGATGCGTCGCCCTGGGTCTCAAACCTGGTGGTAGCTCAGAAGAAATCAGAGGCCCTACGGGTGTGTGTCAGCCTGCGAGAGGTGAATAAGGCAGTGATCCCAGACAGGTTCCCTCTGCCTACCTCAGAAGAGCTCATTGCTCAGTTCCATGGCTCAACCGTGTTCTCTAAACTGGATCTCAGACAGGGCTACCTACAAGTGCCTCTCCACCCCGACAGCAGAAACCTCACAGCCTTTGTGACACATGCAGGTGTGTTTCGCTACACACGTATGCCGTTCGGACTCAGCTCCGCCCCCAGCTGTTTCCAAAAAATCATGGTGTCGGTGTTGGCTGGTATACCGGGGGTGGCCATTTACCTGGATGATGTGGTTATCCATGGGCCCACCCCCGAGAGTCACGATGAACGCCTCAGCATAGTCTTTGCAGCCCTAGCTGAACACAAACTAACCCTCAATGCTGAAAAATGTGTTTTCTCTGCACCGACTATTGAATATGTGGGTTTCTGGCTGTTGGCAGATGGCGTCACACCACTTCAATCACATGTAGATGCCATACTTGCAATTCCCGAACCCAGCTCAGCTGCGCAGGTCGCCTCCTTTTTGGGCATGACGGGCTACTACCTGAAGTTCCTCCCACATTACTCTGCTACCACTGCCCCACTACGGCGACTGCTGCGTAAGGATGAGCCATGGGTGTGGTCACAGGCATGCTCTGATGCTGTGCGTGCGCTCAAGGTGCAGCGCACCACAGCCCCAGTGTTGGCTCACTTTGATATTTCCAGCCCCACCTGGGTGACCTGCGATGCGTCGGCTACAGCCATAGGAGCAGTGCAGTCACAGACCCAGCGGGGCATTGAGAAGCCCATCGCCTTTGCGTCACGGTCCCTCAATCAGACGGAGCAGCGGTACTCATTGGGGGAACGTGAAGCATTAGCATGCATCTGGGCCTGCGAGAGGTGGCACTTGTATCTCTATGGCCGCGCCTTCACCCTAAGGACAGATCATCAGGCCCTGACTGCACTAGTTTCCACATCTGGGACAGGCCACTGAGGCTACACCGCTGGTCCGATCGTCTTCGCCAGTATAACTTTCACCTGAAGTTCAACCCGGGCAGAGACAATGTTGTGGCCGATCTACTGTCCCGCTCCGCTCCGCCACACCCCACCACACACACATACACCGACACGGACCAGGTGGAACGGGACATTGTCCAGATGTTACACACAACCCTCCAGGCCGTCGTATCATTACAAGAACTGAAGGAGGCATCGGACCAGGACCCGGTCTTTTCTCAGCTCCGAGTCTATATTCTGAATGGCTGGCCTCAGGAGGTACCAGAGGGGCTGGCAGCATTTTCCAGAATAAAGCAGGAGCTGTCCTGCTGGAACGACACCTGTGTGGCACGCGGCCTCTGCACAGTCATCCCCAGCACCCTATGTGCACGTGTCTTTGCAATGGCTCACGAGGGCCACCTGGGTATTGTGAAGTTGAAGCAGCGCTGCAGAGACCGGGTTTGGTGGCCAGGGATAGATAAAGACATCGAGGCCCTGGTGAAAGACTGTGCTGCCTGTCTCTTGAGTGGTAAGACTGGTCACCAGGCCCCCCCACCCTTACAACCTCTTGCTTGGCCATCGCAGTCCTTGGACCACCTGCAACTGGACATATGTGGTGAGACACAGGGAGTTCCTCATCACCAACGCTTCCTAGTGGTTGTCTATGACCTGCATTTGAAATGGCCTGAGCTCATTGCCACCGGCTCTGTGACCTCTCAGGTCATAATTAACATCCTGGACTCTCTGTTTTCCTGCTGGGGCCTTCCAAACACTATCACTACTGACAATGGCCCGCAGCTGATCTCAGCTGAGTTCACAACATACCTAAAAAACAAAGGTATTCATCACATCCGCACGGCATACTATCACCCCCAAGCTAATGGTGGTGTCGGACCCTTCCATCAGTCACTGAAAAACAGTCTCAGAGCGCACTTGTTCCAGGGATGGACCTTCTCACGGGCCATCCATCACACACTGCTGCACTACAGGGCCAACCTACACTCTACGACGGGGGTCTCTCCAGCTTTCCTCATGCTTGACCGTGAGCTCCACTTTCCCCTTGACAGGCTCAGCCCCGCACTGCCTCAGGGACCACTACCGAGAGTCAGGGCCTCTGTCAACCGCCAGCAGAGGAGGATGAAACAGAAATTCAATTTCTCAGCACGTGTTAAGGTCCCTGACATAAAGGCCGCAGATTGGGTCAGGGTTCGCATTGTGTTCTCACACAAGTGTTGTTTGATAATGCATTGAGTTAGTGTTCAGTGATGCATCGAGTTTGATTGTGCTGAAAGCATTCTGTCATGCCTGACCAATGCATGTGCTCGTTTACTGGGGTCTGAAACAGAGAGGTTAAGTAAAAAGATACGATAAGTTGATGCTACTCGCTGTGTCGGTGTGATCCTTATCAAACGCAACAATAGTGCAACCAGGTGCCATGGCTTTGACTAGTACACTAACCCAGTCAAAGATACAA